TCGAGCCGCTCCAGCGCCGCCGCCGCCGCCGCCGCCATTTTTCCCGCGCCCCGAGCGCGTCGCGCTCCGATTGGCCGCCACCGCCGCGCCTCGCGCTCTGATTGGCCGCCGCCTCCAAACGCACCGCCCTCTGATTGGCCGTCCGCTCTCTCTGCCCGCCCCCAGCACCGCGGACCGCACTGCCATTGGCTCAAAGACTGCCAATCAAATATTAGTCCCGCCTCTCTTCTTCTATTCCAGCCAATCGGAGCGGGCTCCGCCCCCCACCCGGAAGTGCTTCTGATGCCGCCGCCGCGTGCGGGTTCCGCGCGCGCTCCGCGTCCCCCGTGACGTCATCGGCAGCGGCCGTGACGTCGTATATAGGGCTCGCGTGACGTCATGAAGTCGCCACCGAGGCCCGTGACGTCACGCCGCGCCCTGGAGCCCCTCGGGGGCGGGGCCGCAGAGGCCCGGGCGCGGTTCCGAATCGCGCGGTTCATCATGGAGGCGGGTAAGGGGGGCATGACGTCACTGCGGGGAGGCGGTGACGTCACTGCGGGGTGGGCGGGGGTCGCGTCACCGTGGCGGTGACGGGGCGCAGTCCCGGGGCTGGGCCTATTGTCGGCAAGGCGGGGTCGTCGTGCTGAAGTCACAGTGACGTCACAGCACCACGTGAGGCTTGGGTCGGGCTCGCGGTGCGGCCGTGACATCACAGTGACGTCACGGCTGCACTGAGGGGCGTGGCTGAGGCTCGTCATTGCGGCGGCAACATCATGGGGCCGACACGGTGATGTCACGGGGACTCTGCAATCACATCACGTCATCTTGTGATGATGTCACTGTGACGTCACTGTGATGTCACGGTGTCCCCACCCGGGTGTGGAGCTGGGCCTGGGCAGTGACGGGGACACTGAGGTGACCCAGATGACCCAGGTGACCCAGGTGACCCTCAGGTGACCCTCAGATGACCCAGGTGACCCTCAGGTGACCTTCAGGTGACCCTGGGGTGACCCCGAGGTGCTGTTGTCCCCTCAGGAGTGAAGCTGGGCCTGGGCAGTGACAGGGACACTGAGGTGACACTGAGGGGACACTGAGGTGACACTGAGGGGACACTGAGGTGACCCAGGTGACCCTCAGATGACCCAGGTGACCCTCAGGTGACCCCGAGGTGCCGTTGTCCCCCCAGGAGTGAAGCTGGGCCTGGGCTCGGCCGCCCTGGCCACGGCCTGTGGTTCCTTCCACGCTTTCGCCGCCGCCGTGGCCACCCCAGGACCCCCCCAGGACCCCCCGAGGGACCCCCAGGACCCCCCGAGGGACCCCCAGGCCCCGCCCCTGGACCAGCACTTGGTGGCCGCCGCTGCCCTGTTCGTGGCCGCCAAGGCCCAGGGGACCCCCAGGAGGGCTCGGGATGTGCTCAACGTCACCCTCAGGTACCTGGGACCCCCTAAAACCCATCCTGGGGGGCTGAGACCCCCAAAAACACACCCTGGGGGGGTGAGACCCCCCAAACCTGCCCTCAATGTCACCCACAGGTATTTGGGACCCCAAAAAACCTGCCCTGGGGGGGCTGAAACCCCTAAAACCCCACCCTGAGGGGGCTGAGACCCCCAAACCTGCCCCCAACGTCGCCCTCAGGTACCTGGGACCCCCCAAAACCTGAGCCTGGGGGGCTCTGGGACCCCCAAAAACCCACCCTGGGGGGCTCCGGGACTCCTAAAACAGACCTGAGGGTGCTCTGAGACCCCTGAAACCCACCTTGGGGGGGCTCTGGGAGCCCCAAAAACCCACCCTAGGGGGCCGAGACCCCCAAAAACCCATCCTGGGGGACCTGAGACCCCCAAAAACCCACCCTGGGGGGGTTGAGACCCCCAAACCTGCCCCCAACGTCACCCTCAGGTACCTGGGACCCCCAAACCTGAGCCTGGAGGGCTCTGGGACCCCCAAAAACAGACCTGGGGGGCTCTGGGACCCCCAAAAGAGACCTGGGAGGGGTCTGGGACCCCTTAAAGACCACCCTGGGATGCTCTGGGACCCCCAAAACCTGAGCCTGAGGGTGCTCTGGGACCCCCAAAACAGACCTGGGGGGGCTCTGGGACCCCCAAAATCTCACTCTAGGGGGGCT